TCAATAGATGGCGATGTGGTGGCTTGGAGGATAGAGCGTTCACATTCCAGTGAGGTGAATCGGGTTCGAATCTCAGCGATGGTTGGTCGATACGAATTCGCATCCGACTCTCAACGACCACAGTGCTGACGTAATATAACCTCAGTGGTGGACGGATCATGGATTTGAGTCCCATTGCCGTTAAGCTAACTATGGGAGGTTTTCGCGGTTTTCCTCACCATGTAACGCAAATGCAGGTTAGCCCACCACAAAGGCAAACTTTTCCCAATACTTGCCAGAAGTTTCCTTGTCTTCTGGATTGAGTTCAAATTTACAAGGATAAGGAGTAGAACATTAATAGTCGTAAACCCAAAATTGGGTGGGCTGCTCAACGACGGTTATAAAATAAAAATAAAATTGTCTATGGATGTGAACATTATGATGAGAACAAAGTTGTTTTTGTTGACTTGTGATAATGAGGTTGTTGTTGAAATTCAGTTGATTGAAAAAAAAAAGAAATTCACTTGATGAAAATTCGCTTGCAGAAAATTCAAAAAGAAAATTCACCTTTAGGGCCTCCCTGTCCCAACCGTTAAATCTCATTCTTAACAGAGTCTTCTAGATGTTAAGATAATGATTATTTTAAGGGTCTTTTTTTTTCATTATTTTTATAGTTTTGAGTTTGGCCATATTCGATTTGGTAATAAATAAAGCTTTCCTAAGCGATTTTATTCATTTCTGTGGGATAAATAATATCCAAATCTACAATATTAAATGATCTACATCAGTGTTCCCCAACCTTTTTATCAACGCTGACAAGTCATCGTGTGATAATTTTACCGCTTTCCGTTGGGGGGTGAGGACGTTTATTGCTTATATTTTGGATTATTTTGATTTACTAATGATAGAGAGAAGACAAAGTTCTTCATTAGTTCCAATGTAGAATTCGCTCCTCGCTTTCGTGTTTTATTAATGATATTTACAGTTACGATGATTGTTTTTTTTATTAAAAGTAATTGAAAGCGAAAATAGTTACGGTGGCTTTCTTTTTCTTTTTTTAAACTTTTAAAAACATTAAACTATTTATGTCACTACTATGATGCCACAATTGGCATTACATATTTATTTCCCATCCTTTAAAATATCTGTGATTACTTAAGTTTATTTTTATTAATATTTGAAATAAATCAAAGATTTAATCTTTTAAAACGAACATAAAATATTCATTCTTCTTTTGTATCAATCAATGTAACGGATACTTTTTTTAATTTCATTACTAATGCAGACTTATTAATTCACTGTCTCGCTTAATCGAAAAGAAAAATCTATTCATAATTTTTTATTCTAATTTCTAACCGCTATATGCTTCAGTTGCATGGTTGTAATAATTCCCATAAATTTGTTGGCAACTCGTGATCGCCAACGTATTTTTTGAACCCAATGTTGATATGCGGGGTTGGCTTTGTTTTGGCTGCTACTTTTTGATAAATGTCAATTTTGGATCTCCTACCCATACTTTCTGTGTCCGTTAGTAACAATTGTATTCACTTTTAATTCAAAATTTATGGCGACTTGGAGTGCCCCTTTGGGCGCTCTAGTCCCAGCCATCCTAACGGTTTTAAAAATGCAATCGTAACGGAATGCTCGCAAAACTTCTTAATGTGTAAGTTATATTTTCTTGATCCCTTTAACGGATTTATTTTTGATAATTTGTTATTATATATGATGACCATTCTTTATAATCTTCACGAATTATTGTTTAATAAATTGGATTTTTTCTAAACGATTTATATATGAATTACCTGGAGAATGCCATTTTGTTTCATACTTTTATTAACGGTCAATACGAAAAATAATGAATTTAAATATTTTCCACTATACAAATATTGGCGGCCACTGATGGAGAACAACTTCCACCATAACTACCTTCTGAGGTCCTTTTTTTAAATAAATAAAGTTTTAATGGAACACAGATATTTTTAATTTGGGATAGAAACCTAGGAATTTAAATTCAGTTTCAATGAACTGGGCGGCCCAGTACCATTTGATCCACGAACTGGTACCAGTCCGTGGACCAGGGGTTGTGGAACACTGATCTACATGATGTAAAATATCAAAATGATATCCAAATTGAAATGATTTCACACACCAAAAATTTGATTAATTCTACAATGAGGCTATCTGAACTATCACTAAAAATTGGACTGAGGATCTCCACCTTTACAGGGTTCATTGGTGGCAAAGCATTGTCCAACAGGTGATTTTGTCTGGGAGGAGCAAAATGTAGTCTATCAATATTTATAATCTTTGAAGGAGCATATTTATTATCAAGTCATTTAATTTAAAAAAATTGAGAATTTTTTTTTCTGATAACAGAAAATGGTCCATTAAATTTTGTTTTGAAAGAGGTTTCATCTTTCAAGTAAACAATGCCGTCTACACTGATTTTTTGTAGTTTTGATTTAGGTAAATGTTGTTGATTTCGGAAGTCTTGAGCAGCTAAGAGATTTTCATAGGCTACTTGGTAAGTTGAATGAAGCTGAGTTAAGATTTGCTCAATGTAAGAAGAAGTGTCAAGTTGATTCGGTGTGATATTTTTGTTGAATGTGTCAAAGAAAAGTGATACTTGTCTTCCAAGATGTGAAATTTATTTGCCAAGCCCAAGCGTGGAATTTGTACAGCATTGTAACAGCATTGATGAATAATGAGAGATATTTTAAACAATACATTTTTTTAGGGTTATATCTGTGAATTTGATGGATTAGTTGATTTTTTTAAGATTGTTCATTTGATAAGGCGTGTTATGGTGTATTGTGAGATAATGTGATGCTAAGTGTACTATTAACTCAATGAAAAGCTTCAGCAATAAACTGCTTACCACAATTAGTTAAGATATTTATTCTGGTCTACCATGAAGAGAAATGTAATTTAGCACGTGTTTCATTATTTGATTCAATGTGATATTGACGAGAGAGTATAAAACTAAATATTTTGATTAATTATATAGAACTGTCAATGCATATTGACCATCAAATCGACATACGATTTCAAGTGATACAAATTATCCAGGATGGCCGCGGATGCTTTGATTTAAGAAAAGCGATGGTCTTGGTTTAACTTTTATCTGACTGATGCATTGATAGCAAGAAAGGACAATGAATCTGCAATCAGTATACATGTTCTTCCAAAAAATTTTGTGTAAGGAATTGATGTGTTTTGTCAAATACAAAATGGTTGAAATGAGCATTTTGGATAACTTTGAACTTCACCGAATCGAGAAGGACAATTTTTGGATCATCTTTATGTGGAAGAAACTGCAGGGAATTGGTTTCTGGGTGTAAAAAGAAGTTTTTGAATTTATGGGTTATGAACGGTTGGCGAGCGTTAGAGAGCAGGGGGTGCAGCCCACTAGTATATCTTTAATTCTAGAAAGACGGAGTTCATCAACAATGGAATCCGTTAAACCCTTATGAAAAAATCGAGGTATAAACGAGGTATATTTTAAAGGTATAAAAGAGGTTGTTAATTAAATACGTCGTTGAGGTTGAAAAGGGTGCAAATGAATACCTCAAAACCAACCTCAAATATACCTTAATATATACCTCCAGAGGTATATATGTTTCAACTTGAGGTGTTTAATTTTACATCTGGGGAGAGGTAGATATTTACTACTTTAAAGTGTTTCATTTTCAACCTTAGGTTATTACTTATCAGCTTGAAGTATATTTATTTACACTTGTGGAAGTATTTATTCAACAACCTAAAGTGTGTCATTTTACACTTCAGGTTATTATAAATCAACCTCAGGTGTATTTTGTTCCACTTCAGGTAATTATTTTTCAACCTCAGGTATCTAATTTTATGCTTGTAGAGATATATATTTTTCAACGTATGGTGTGTCATTTTACACTTCAGGTTATTTCAAATCAACCTCAGGTGTATTTTGTTCGACCTTAGGTTATTACTTATCAGCTTGAAATATATTTTTTTACACTTGTGGAAGTATTTATTCAACAACCTAAGGTGTGTCATTTTACACTTCAGGTTATTATAAATCAACCTCAGGTGTATGTTGTTCGACCTCAGGTAATTATTTTTCAACCTCAGGTATCTAATTTTATGCTTGTAGAGGTATATATTTTTCAACCTGAGGCATGTCATTTTACTCTTCAGGTTATTTCAAATCTACCTCAGGTGTAATTTTTGATAGTTGGAAAGGTGATTTTTTACTAACGTAAGGTGTATTATTTTTCACCTCAAATATAGGTTTTTATGCTTGTAAAGGAAATTTTTTTAATCAAACTAAAATATGCCATTTTTCCCTTCAGGTTATATTTTTTTATGCTAATGCTGGTAATTAAATATAATTAAAATGTTTCTCCTTAGACTGCTAATTTTTAACCTAAAATATATATCTTTTCACTTGTAGAGGTATTTATCACTCTGATGGAGTTTTTAATGTTACACATTAGGTGGTAATTACTTATTAACTTTTTACGGTCTGTCTTAATTTTCACTGCTAATCCTGATGCTAAGAAACTATTTTCTAAACACATAGGCGGAATACGGATGAATCTTTCTTTCGAAAGAATTTTCGACTGATTTCCATGTATTGTGTGAAGAAAAGTAAAATGCAATGCAAAGAATATATCTTCCTTTAATTTTGAAATACAACCCATTGGAATGTATTCTTCCTCACACAATTCAAAATAGGAATTTTCACTTAACGCCTTTAATTTATAGTTTGTGAACCTTGTGCTAATTTGCAATTAAATAGTTCATAAAATTTATTAATCTTGAATTAACATGTAGAGTTGAATAATGTTAAGTATGCTGACTCATAAACCTTAAAAGAACATTTCAAATGTTTCTGTAATTTTAATAATTTCAATTAAACTATCGTGAAAAGAGGATACATTTGTTTCAGAAAAATGTGGGAACTCATTTATATAGAACAGATGTTAAAGGCGCTAATTTTTTGTAAAAGCGAAATAACAGCAAATTTAAATAATTTAGCCAGCTTACAAATAAAAACTTTTATTAACAAAAAAAAATTAATTTTTCGTTCAAGAAATCAAAATTCTTGACAATTACTCTGCTTCTTCTGCAAGTTTGCTGTGCTTACGTTATTTGGAGCATTGGAACCTATAAATAAAAAATTTGAATTAGCGAGAGTCATATTTACATTGATAATGACAAATTTTAAAAGATTAGAATAATATTTTAAAGCTTATTTCGTTGCATAAATCACCTTTTATTATTATTTCTATTCAATTTTGAATAAATAAATGGTTTCTTTAGTAACAGCAGATGAATAATAATAATAATAATGACCTGCAAAACTCTCCTCCCAGTATATTTCAATTCTTTATTTTGACTGTTTAAACATATCACTTAAAAAAGCTAATTTTTCTATAAGATGCATATAAAAACTGCTGTAGAAATAACACGCTTATTGAAATTCTTAATTTTCCAATAATTCAACCGACCATTTTTAATTATGGATTGTTATGCTGATATTTAAATTTTTTTCTCAGCAAATTTTGAATAAATTCAATTACACTGGCCTGCTTGTTTAAATTTTTAGTCCAATTTCGCAAAAGAAATTGTACTAAAACCAATTCTCAATGCTGCTGATTCCGAAAATAATTGTCTATCACGTAAGGTTTTTAAAAACAAAAGGTCATTTTCAACCTTTTATTTAATGTGATCAAGAATCAATCATCTTTTAATAAAAGAATGTAGAACATCAATGTTTTGTGTTTTTCATGCCCCATCGAAATAAAAGCAACATTAAGTTTATATGTTTACTTGCCTGAGAGAATAATTTAAGATAATGCTATAAAATAATGTTTTCAAAAATCAAAGATCATGCAAACTTTATCAGTAATTTTTTAGGTGAAAAGATTTCATTGAATCAAAGGAGAATAATTTACTTGTCTTTTTTCTTTTTGGTGTATATTTAGAGTTACTCCCAGGGGAAGGCTCTCCAGTTACTAGTCTCCACTTCCTCCTAGCTGCAGAGCACGTATTATTGACAGCCTTATTCAAACCTTGAAATTCTGGATGCCATTTACGGAGCAGCTCTGTAAAAGTTGCATGTTCAAGTTGAGTAAAATCAAGTTATATAAAAGTTGCATAGCAAGTTTCATTTGGAAATTTTCAGATGAGATTTTTTTTTAAGAAATTGAAGGAAATTGAAATATATATTTATATAACTTTGATAAGTTACTAATGTTGACAACAAAAATCCAGAGTCAATAATACTTTTAAACTTTTTTAACTACAATATAAGCAGATTAAGTATAGGTTCACCAAAATGATTTTAATATTTAATTGAAATAATAAAATTATTTTTTTGGAATAGCTGTCTCAGTAAATTTGTTTTATACAATATTCTTTGTGGATTAAAGATAAAAACTATTTTATTAGAGCACACTATTTATACGAAAAGTTTTCATGTTCTTTTAGTCTCTTTACGAGTCTTCACGAGTCTTATTAAAAATAAATTGAAAATCATTCCAAAATATTAAACTGCATCATGTTGATCTAGAATAATATTCAAGATTTTGCCTTAGCGGACTAAAAACTAAAATAAAACTAAACACAGTGGCGCGACAGCCCATAGAGGGCCAAGGTCTACTGTGCCCATTTCAGTTTTCTTGACCTTGGGCTCTGGGATGCAGGAGCAGATGTTCCGGTTAGGTGGTCAGCCGAACGCGGAACCCCCAGTGTTTAGTTCCCAAGCATGCTTGGTACTCATTTATCGACCCACTGAAGGGATGAAAGGCTGAGTCAACCTTGCCCGGCCCAAGGATCGAACCCAGGACCTGTGGCACGGAAGAGCGGGGCGTTGCCTTAGTGGACTAAACGGACAAAAAGTTTGAATTTTGCATGAGAATTTTTTAAGTGGATGCCAGTTTTCCTTCACCTATAGTTGCCTTTTTGCTAACTAACTTCAGATATTATTTAATAGGTGATACACATACAAATACTTTTAAGATACTCAACTAAACCAAGCTTATGTATAAAAGGGCAAGTAAACTTAAACTAGGCTGCATTAATTTCTTCGTAAAAATTTTAGTAACTTGTACTTGTCAGAATTCAATATGCTGTTGCTGGAATTATTATGGTGTTATTGAAGAAATGATTTCTGGTGAAAAGATGCGTTCTCTTAATCTTAATTTTAATGTTGAACTAAGCCATATTACACAAGTAACTAATTCTGGCAACTTTAACTTAATTCCTGTGACAAATATATCTTCTGTTTGTATTTCCATCCAGTGCGATGACACTGGAAAAATTTATTTTGCTAATGTGGTGAACAATCTAGAATTAGAATAACTTTTTTCTCTCTAGAGGCAATGTATATGTAAGTTCAGTAATCCCCGCTTATATATAATGTAATCGCTGTTAATATCAATCACTTATTATTACCGAAATTATTCGGTTCTGATTTTTTTTCATTGATATTATAGTTTTCTGTGATCCTTACATAATTTAATGTTATTAGAATTTAATTTTCAAAATTCTTTATTTATTAGCGTTATATTTTTATTTACTCTGCACATTTAAAAATAAAAAAAATTCTTTTCTTTCTCTGCGATAATGTTAGAATTTCCAATTTCTCATCATTTCTGGAGTTTAAAAACAAAATATTTTTCAGATTATGAAAATTTATGAAGTTTGCTTTATTAATTTGTGAGGGGGGTTAAAAAATTAGTTCACTAAAATTAGCTTGAATCTTATCTCATATTACATATATTTTTATTAAAAAAAATTTCAGATTTTATTAGGAATTCTCATATATTTTTTTATGAAATTTGTTGATTTGATATGGTAAACTTGTTTCCTACCTTAGAATCACCTGTTAATAGTAAACATTAATTTAAAAAAATGAATATTTACTTCGAAAAACAGGATTGTTTTTTTTCTTCATGTTTGTAAATATATATTTTTATGAAAATGCAACTTTTGAAGAAATATTAAAATTTTTGTGTGATGTATTTACCCTGATTGCAATTTTTATTGTATATGTTTATTTTATTAGTTAAATATGTATGTTAGATTTTTGTTGAAGGCAACAAATATGCATTTCGTTCCTTACAATAGTATTGTTTATTTGTTTTATTACCTGCAATATATAGAAACTGTTAACTTTCAATTTTCAGTGATTTATTTATAAGAGAAATTATGAACCTTTTACTCAATCAGCTTGCATACTGCTACGTTAAAACATATACATTTAAGCAAAACAAAAAGAATAGTTATATTTGAATAAATTACAAACAATAAAATATACTGTGCGTAACCTGCTGTAACGATTCACCAGTAACGTTACCCTAAACAGCGACGAGAAATATTTAGATTGATCTGTCTTATTGCTAAGCCTACAACAATAGCCTCAAAGAATATCCTCCGACTTAAATAATGTAAGATCAGGACGCGTCTTTAAAACAAAAATAATGAAATTTAAGTTTGAAAATTGAGGCATATTTGATTAAAAGTGACAAAGCTAAATTAATAAATGTCAAGCACACTTACCGAATTTTAAAGAAACTTTCGATTGTAAACACACACGCCATTTGCCGGCTAGCACGGAACTCTGGGAAGTGAGCTAGTTGATATGAAGTGTACTTTAAACAACCTTAAAACAACCTTAGGTATAAATAAAATGACTTCATACATCTCAATAAAGACCTCACTCTCTTTAGTTGAAAAAAATTATATTTTTTATACCTCGTAAATACCTCTTTTGTTACAAGTGTAAAAAAAACAACCTGGTGAACCTTAAAAACTGCCTCATGATTCTGGTTGATATGAAGTGAATTTTAAACAACCTCAAAATAAGCTTAGGTATAAATAAAAGGACTTCATATACCTCAATAAATATCTCACTCTCGTTAGTTGAAATAAGGTCAATTTTTTTATACCTCAAAAATACCTCTTTTATTACAAGTATCAGAAAATCAACTTGATATACCTTAAAAATCACCTTATCAGTCTGGTTGATTTGAAGTGAATTTAAAACAACCTCAAAATAAGCTTAGGTATAAATAAAATGACTTCATATACCTCAATAAATATCTCACTCTTTTTAGTTGAAATAAGGTAAAAAATTTTACACCTCAAAAATACCTCTTTTGTTACAAATGTAAGAAAATAAACCTGGTATACCTTAAAAATCACCTTATCAGTCTGGATGATTTGAAGTGAATTTTAAACAACCTCAAAACAAGCTGAAGTATATATAAATCAACCTCGTACACCTTAATTACAACCTTTACAAGGTATAATTTTTATTGCTGTTTTCTCTGCAACCTTAAATATACCTCAAATATACCTCAAAACAACCTTAATACCTCAAAAGTACCTCAAATCAACCTTAAATATACCTTAAATTTTCGTAAGGGAAGCTTAAAAAGTTGAAACGGCTGTTTTCAGACCAAATACTAATGTTTTATTTTTAGAAGTACTGACGTGTGTAACACACGTTAGGATATCTCGGAGGTTTTCTGTGAGGGAAATTCGAATATAAGCAAAAGATAGAAACATTAATCAGTTTTTAGAGTACTAATCAAGTTTGGTAATTAATTGCTGTGAATTAGAAAGAGGATAAGAGAATGTGTTGCTTGTTCAATTATGGTGTTCAATAGTCTAAGATCCAATGCTAATCTGGATTTGTGTTTTCTTGTTTCTTCTTGACCATGGAAAGTGGACAAACTCATGAGCTAACACCGCGCTGAAATGAGGCTTGTTCAATTATGGTGTTCAATAGTGTAAGATCCAATGCTAATCTGGATTTGTGTTTTCTTGTTTCTTCTTGACCAAGGAAAGTGGACAAACTCATGAACTAACACCACGCTGGAATGAGGCTTGCTCAATTATGGTGTTCAATAGTCTAAGATCCAATGCTAATCTAGATTTGTGTTTTCTTGTTTCTTCTTGACCATGGAAAGTGGACAAACTCATGAGCTAACACCGCGCTGGAATGAGGCTTGTTCAATTATGGTGTTCAATAGTGTAAGATCCAATGCTAATCTGGATTTGTGTTTTCTTGCTTCTTCTTGATCATTGAAAGTGGATAAACTCATGAGCTAACACCACGCTGGAATGTATCGATGTCTAATTGGTGAGATGATCTATTTGTTATTTTTAATAAAAAAAACATTTAGGATTGGGTGTTAAAATATTTCCTTTCAGCCACTGTTCCAAAATTCAGTTGGATAACATGATCAGTTCTAGAGATAGAGAGAGACACGAAATCTTAATTTTTTTTACTAAAGATTACATATTACCCCTATTTAACCTCCTTAGGGGTAGAATATCAAAATATCCTTACTTACGTGTTAAGGTGCCTTGTTCAAAATCTAGTACAAAAACATGATTTTGGGCAAAAGTTTCGAAAAATTGAGTTCACTATTAATTTAGAATCCATTTTGCTGGTACTCCAATTATTTACAAAGTTAAAAAAGTTTTTGTGTAATGCTTATTAAGACATTTATAAGCACTGCACAAACATTTAATAAAAACAATTTTGAAATGAAATAGAATAGAACACATTAAGCGAAAATATCACGTAAAAGCACAAAATAAAATGTAAGGAAAAAACAGAACGAAGCATGAAACAAAATCTAAAAAGCGAGCAGCAAATTCAAATGAACTTACATGAACATGAATTTTTTCAAGAATGATTTAAAATATTTTCGTAACAAGATTGCCAGATTGCAAAATATGAAAACAAAAGCGCAAATTGAGCGTAACTTGAGGAGTTTTGTTTTAAAGTGCCGTTCTTACTGCAGTGCTGAAGCGCCTTTGTTTCGTTAGTTACCAAGGGTGGGGCCGAAAATGGATGTGTGCAAGGTAATATTATACTGGATATTTTAAAGAAGTTTACAATTAATAATTTTAGAAAATTAATTTTTATTTAAGAAAAAAAGTGAGAGAGAGACAGGGGAAAAGAGACATGAATTGCCTGTTTTGCACATACTTTTAGCCATGGATTTGACCTGAAGGGATTTGCACATGGTAAAAATTATACTATAAATTAACAAAGAAGTTTTTTAGTAAATTTATCTACAATAATGTACTATAAACTCAATGTTTTTGTATAGATTTTAATTATTTTATTTGGGTATCCATTTTTTCAATCAATTTTGAAAGAGTTTGTCTACTTGTTTTTTGGATAAATAAACATTACTAGACATTCTTTTAATTCGATTCATCTGTTTAAAAATGGTAATTAAATGGATGTTTTCGGTTATATCAGAATTCCGAGTAATTAGTTTATTTATATTAAAATTAGAATCATTTTTTTAATCGTATAAATCAACAGAGCAGATATTTTCTTCCTTTATAATACCCAAATCCAAAAAATTAAAATTAATATTGTCATCATGATTCCGAAGCAAGATTAATTCCTCGGGTTAGATATTATTTAATAGAATTGTATAATCCTGAAAATTAAAGATAATTAAATCATCAATAAATTTAAAAACAAATTTAATACTAAGAGTATAATTTCCTCATAATTGTGCAAAAAGTAGTTAGCTAAGAGAGATGAAAATTTAGATTCATGTGGTATTCCATCAATTTGAAGAAAAATGTCTTTAACATTGTACAGATAACTATTAAAAAGACAAAAATTAATTAGAATTTCCTCATAATAAAAATCGAAATTAAGAATATTTTTAAAATAATAGTAATAACTCAAAAGAACATCGTTTTGCTTAGAAAGGGGAATACTGTTGAAAAGATCCTGGAAATCAAAAGTCGCAATAGAATTAATTTTATTATGCTTAATAAATTCTAAAATGAGCTGATTATTAGTGATAAGCTAAGAAAAACCTTCTTTAAAAATATTGTTAATAATTTCATTTAAGTTGTTAGAGAAAATAGTGCCAGAGTATGTTAGGTAAGTGTTTAACCCACAAGTGATTGCTATAAATTTAATAGGAATTTAATGAAATTTAGGGTTAAAAATTAAGTGAGGAAATTGTATAGTGCTAATTTTTATTTTTAAGCTCTTACTTAAAGCTAAAATTCTTTTAATGACAATATTATGCTTTACATTACTAAGTTTAAAATTTTCACTATTTAACTCCGTATTTAAAAGGTCATCATAGAGTTTTTTTCATAAGATTGCATAATTATTGTTAGCTTTGTCCATAGAATTTTATATACAAACAAAAATGTCGACAATTTCAGAACTAGCCAAATTGTTAGAATTTTCATTCTGAAATTATGGTGAAATAACCAGCATCAGTCTGTCCATCTGATTAACCATAAAGATCATAGTTCGAAGCAATTCTTTACATTTACGGTTTTAAAACCGTTTACAACTGCCACGGTTAAAGAAACCGAGAATACAAACCTCTAAGGTTTTCTAACGACTTAAAACTATTATAAAACCATAAAAATAGAATTTAAATGGAAATTGGAGCTCAATGAGTGAGGTGAATTATATTTTGGTATTCTAATAGTCCGGGGTCGCCGATTGAAGAGGGCAGAGCAGAAGGAAAATTTTGTTTGTTGAAATAATATTGCAGTATTAACGCTGGAATTCTAACACCTATTAAGTCGTTCATTAGACCGACCGATTAACCTGTCAGTTAAAGAATGTACCCATCTTCATGGAAAAAAAGGGTTTCATAAGTTGGACCTAGATGGTCTAAGAATTCCGGTTATGAATCTGTATTTAACACTCACATAACAGTATGAATATTATTTTTTCTATGGTTAGTTGGTTGTTTTGCTTGAGTACAGTAAAATAACAATTAAATAAATCGCTATTCGTTGCACGAATAGCGATTTATTTAATTAGCGATTTATTTCACGTTCAATCGTTTTCACGATGAAATTTCTAACAGTATACAGATTTAAAACTTTAATTGGAAATTAGAGCCTGAATTCTCACTTTATCATATTAATTACATTTGTACCTTAATTGCCGATGGACATTTTTAACAGATTTTCGAAATAAATAAACTATTAGATAAAATATAGAATTAAAAAAAAAGAAAATCTACGTTTACCCAAGTGAACTAAAGCGTAAAAAAATATTTCTTTATTTTTCACAAAAAACATAAGCCGCATGAAAAACATAATTGCTTAAATTTTTACATCATTTCATTATATTTAATAATCTAAATAATCTATTTGCTTAAGAAATACTAATTACATTTTGTGCAACTAATAAAGTTTAAATTTCTTTTATTTATCTATATCTGTTTATTTATCTATTATTTATCTATGTTTCTCAAATAAATTGTTATAAATGGAATAAAAAGTTGCCCTTCAAGAATAAATGTTAAAAAAAAATGCTTTATATTGTAATAGTTGGTAAAATCTGCCTTTATAAAAGTGAAAAAGATAATTTTTAAATATAAATTTCTGTATTTTTAAATTATATAAAATTTTATTTTAATCCATTTCACAAAAATTCATTACTAAGACAGAGTAATAGAATATCAACTCCGTAATTAAAAAAAGTAATCTTCTGATATTTTAATTAATTTCACAAAGGTAATTTTTATTCTTAAATAATTAAATACCCCAAAAATGAATAGATTATCAAATTTTATTTTTAAAAAAAATAGCTCATTATTTGAATAACTTAATCAAAGGCAAGTATTTTTCTAAAGGAATGAGCAAGGCAAATGAATTATTAATTTTTCGCAAATGCATTTATAAATTTGAACCATTTTTTAAAATATAAATAACTTTCATAATGCTGCAACTTAATACTATATTATCTACGCTTTAATTATGAACTTAAAACCATTTATTCACTTATTTACTTTTCCAAAATAATAGTTTTTATAAGAAAATGAATACATTTTCGGTAAGTCCTTCGGTCGTAAACTTATATTCTTTTATTGCTTAAATCTTTTTCACAAAGATTCATATTTTAAGCAATTTCTTTCTATGGATAAAATTCTAATGATGGTACCGCAGTTTCCCATTGTTGTTTGTGCATTTTCATCCGTTGGAAAATCACGTGCTGGATCGAGGTTTTCCTCCTTCATTTCCATATTGTTTTGGTTGTCATAAGCATAAAATTAACAAAAGTCATGAAGGTATTGTTATTCTATAAATATTTTTTCATCTCTAATTTAAAGTTACTTACCTGTACCAACCTGCACTGCTATTATCACGCTTTTAATT